AGAACAAGCTTTTGCTAATGAAAACCAAGAAAAAAGATAAGCTTTGAATATTCCAGCCTTTTCTCAGTCCCTTGCTACTTGGTGCCCTGCACCATGGAGCAATGTGTCCACACTCTCCTTAGCTTTCTTACTGCTGCCAAAGACATCTCTGTTTCTGTCTCTCAATTCTCTTGATAGTTTCAATGCCAACAGATCTCTGGCATTTCTTATTCAATTCCCATGCATGCATGTAGTGTCACTGTATTACTCCCAGACAACCTACTCCTTATTCCACCTCCCTTGTTCTTTCTTTTGTTCTTCATGATCAGCTGGGAGCTCCATATTCACGTATTCCAGTCCTATGCTGTGTTTGCTCAACTGAGTCACTTGGGGAAGCTGGTAACATCTCTGACACAGAGTTTGTGGAGACATTGAGAAAAGATATTTGTGAAAGAATCATAAATAGAGAGAAGAAACAACAAAGACAGAGTTATCAGTAGAGAGAGATTGATAGTGTAGCTGGTGACAGTTCCCAGAGGACTGTGGGCCACAAGTAACCAATCACTGGAGGATATACTTCCTTGAAAGGACTGCATTCTGTGCAGGACTCATGCTAGAGAAACAAGAAGAAAGGAACTGAAGAATAAAAGAGTAAGGAACAAGCAGAGTAAAATATAATCTGTAATGGCTGGAACCCAGCCTCTTGTATTGTCTATTCCCTCACCAAAGGGACTGAGTATAACCTGTTGTGGTAACAAGGGCAATGGAGATTAGCCAGGTGGAAGTGAAGTTGTTTCTGCTAAGAATGCAAGATGTTTTTTTCTTGAGTGTATAAATGTTTGTCATCATTGTTTCCCAATGCCCAAATCAGTATTTAAATATTTAATGTTAAATCTCCCAAGTTAAGTCTATTCTGCCTGCAGCAATAACTGCTGATTTCCCCGACTTTGAGCCTACAAGTTTTCTTGCTCTTGTGCTAATTTTTTTCTCTGCTATTCCACTGAGTGAGTGAGGGGCTGTGTGGGCGCATAGCTGCTAGCCAGGGCCAGCCCAACACAAGCACTGAAGCAGCCCCGGAAGAACAAACTTGGCCCCAGAGCTGTAACTCCAGTACTTATGCTTTGAGTCTTCTGAGCAGATGCCACGGATGTTATCTGATGTTATCTGAAGTCTTTCAATCACTTCTCTGAAGCCAGTAGAGGTTATATTTGCAACAAATTTTCTTTCCAGACCAATCCAAAATCTGAATATCCTGTGGTGTGGTGGCTAATATCAACTTCACAAACTATGTGTCCTACATATTTCAGGGACCAATCACAATTGGCTTCACACAAACAGAAGAAGGAAGGAGTGATTTCATGGAGTAAGAAGAAAGAAAAGGATTTTTGGTCAAGAAAAGATGATGAATTGACATGATGGAGAAGCATATGTTGCAGATGTGAACAGAGATCCAGTCCGTCAGTCAAGTCACTCCTGGTGATTGCAAAACACTGTATGCAAATATTCCATGTAAGAATGGAGGGAGCTTCAACTGCACAGTATCATGTCTATTTTCTCAGTCTCAGTGACTGCAGCAATTGGGAGTCTACTTTTTGCAGAAGCTTCCTGTGTAGCCATAGGTGTAAGTCACTGATGTACTGACAAGGTCACAAGGGAGTTGTAAGGATTCACATAATTATTACTCACCAATTAGAGCACATCCACAGCAATTAAAAAGTTGTCAAATGCATTCTAAAGATGGACATGTGGCTCCTGAATAAGAAGGGGCTGTTCATACCACTGTGGCTGCAGACATGATATTTTGGCTACACTTTATCCAAGTTCCCTTACTTACAGCTGAGGTGGAGAATAAAGAAAATATTAAGGTGGACTTACAGAAAAAAAAAATAAAAAAAAAATAAAAAAAAAAAAATAAAATTGGAGAAAGAGCAATGGGAGGTTCTCTTTGCCACCAAGGGAGATCAAATCCAAGAAATATCAGGATAAGGACAATGGGAAGTTCCTAGGAAGTGAACAAAAATAAAAATCACCTTCAACAAAAAGGGGACAAGGGTGTTGTCAGTACACATGGGTATGCTCAAAGCTCATGTTCCAAATCTTCTAACAGCAGTGAGGACCAGCTCAGCAGTGACAGCAACATGGATACTCAGTAGCCTCCTGCCATTCCACATCCCTTTTCTGCTCCTCACTCAGTCCCACTCTCAGGGTGCAGATCACAGAGCAACAAAGCTAGCAACAGAGTCTCCTTGGCTGTACACACCTGTCTGTGACCTGTTTCTGAGGACAGAGGAAACGGCAAGTATCAAGAAATTCAGTGGAATAAAGTCTGTGCAATCTATTGTGAACTTGGCAAAAAAAAAACACACACAACTGTTCTCAAGTTTAGTGAGCTTGAGTAACCCATGTCTATTCTGTTAGACTTTATGATTAAAGGCTGAGAAGCTCCTACAGATTGCATGAGTATCACTGTAAGGGAATTGATGGAATACTGGAGCAGCCTTTACTGGCTTATGCTGCATGTCAGTGGATGTTATTACAGAGATAATATCCCAGCTAGGCTGGGATAGAGTTAATTTTCTTCATAGTGGCTGGTATGGTGTTATTTTAGATTTTCAAGGAAAATAATGTTGATAATTGTCATGTTACAAGTATAGTTTGTCTTTACCTGACAGAGCTCCCCAAACACAAAGGCTTTCACTGGACAGATTAAAAAACGGCTGTCAGAGTCCCTCCAGGATTTTCACTGGACAGTTTCATAAACATTCAAAAAGAAAGACGATTTACTGAAGCAATAGACATGATTGGTTTGGGATTGTTGCTGATAAATGCACTAGATGCAGTAGTGCTAGTATATGACAATAGCACCAGCACTAAGGTTGGTTTTTCCCCTACAAGTGTTAAACCATGACACTGTGCTAATATAAAGTGAAAGGGGGTGTCTATGGCATACAGTATTACATGAGCTAGGCAGGATAGAGATTGGGAAGTTTACTTTAAAAATCCTGTGTTTTAGGCTTGCAAAGGCTGAAAACAGCCAGTATTTTCTTTGGCAATTTACCAGTGAAGCTCTGGGGATTGTCAGAATACGAAAGAGATCTAAGGTTATCCTTGCTTATTTGAGGCTATGGCAGAAGGTTGGGCTGTGCTCTGCCCATGGCTATAAGTGCGCTACTAGTTCCCAGGTAAAAAAGCTCCGAAGGGAACAGCTTTGAGAGAAAGAGGCTTAGTCCTGATAGCACAGATACAAAACAGAGTAAAGCATTTAAGTCAAGATTACCCATGGAATTTTTATTTATCATAGTCATTGCGAAAACAAAGAGAAACAGAGATGTCACTGTGGTGATCTGACCTTGTGTGACTGCCATATGTCCACGCAGCTACTTTCTCACTAAACCCCTTCAACAGGACAGAAAGGGAAAATAAGGCAACCAAGGATTCAGGAGTTCAGGTAATTTTCTACTCAGTCCCGCCAGTAAGTGGGAAAGATGGGAGGAGGAGAAGTATTTTCCAAGTTAACCAATAGTTGTTGGTATTTGTTTTATGTTGGCAACAAAAGGTGTTGGTAAACAGGATTTTGGTTTCTATGAGAAGAGGCCCTGTTGGAAGATTGACACCTGATGGAGAGAGATGAGATCTACCTTTCTAAGGAGAGCACATGTGTCTTAACGAACAGGTTGGCCAGCCTGTAAAGAAAAGCTGTACTAGGAAAGGTGGGGGAAGTGCATATAGAGTACTCAACAAAATACAGCTTAAATTGGGATGCTTCCAGCAGGTGCAAGCAAACAAAGAAGTGCATACAGGACACAACTGTAGAGGATCTTCTTGCATTTCTACAGGCAAACTTGCATGTTCAGTTACATCTGTGAAATGCCTGCACGTCAACACACGCAGCATGGGGAATAAACAGGAAGAATTAGAGATCTTTGTGCAGTCACAGGTCTATGATCTCATTTGCAATTACAGAGACATGGTGGAATAGTTTGCATGACTGGAATGCTGTCAGGGATGGCTATGTGCTTTTCAGGAAAGACAAGCCTGGAAGGCAAGGGGATTAAGTTGTTTTCATGAGACAGAGCAACTGTAATGTATTGAAATCTGCCTAGGGGTGGATGAAGAGTGAATCAAAAGCTTGTGGGTAAGGATTTAGGACAGGCTGACATAGGTGACAGTGTTACAGGTGTTTACTACAGGCCACCTAATCAAGAAAGGGGAGTCAATGAAGCCTTCTGTAGACAGATAAAAATAGCCTCATGATCACAGTCTGTGGTTCCCAGGAGGGACTTCAGATACCCCAGTATCTGCCAGATACCAGCAGTGTGTCTGTTTGAAATTGGTTGGAACTAGTTTTGTCTGAAATGGGAGCAAGCCTCTGGACTCTTCTCACAGAGGCCACCCCTGCAGCTGCCACTGAAAACTTACAATATGAACCCAGTATAGTTGTTCAGTGGATTAGGAAGCAAAACTGGATAGATTTTAAGAACAAAACAAACAAACAAACAAACAAACAAAAACAGACATAAAAGAAACAGTTCAGGCTTCAGTAAGGAATTCCAAAAGAAAATTCTGAATGACATTAGAAGAAATAGCATAATTATTGACAATTAAAAATATAGAAAAAATGCTCCAAACATGCAGTCATCTAATGCTCCCTGCAGAATTTTTTACAGTAAATTTAGCAATTTAGCATTGAGAGGATGGAGCTGGCCACTATCTCTGTAATTTTGTTATCATCAGCACTTGAGCTGCCTGCATTGATGTGCTTCTCTGCCAGAAGTCCTTAGGATTTTTCTCTTTCATTTAAAAAAGTCTTCTTATGTGAAAGTATGTGGCATAAGCCAGAAAATGAAAAGGTAACAATGCTGGAAACCAAAACTCAACCCATATCATTAGCATACTTGGCATTTGACATGAGACTCAGAAAATAATTACCTCTACAAAGAGTGACTCTGCCTAGGGCAGTACAGGACTACTATAAAAGCTGGCTCCTCTCTACTCTCATCCACTTCTCTTGCCTCCTCATTGGAGATGAGGCGTGTGTGATGCTATTTCTCCTCCTCCTTCAAGATCACCACTCTCCTAATAAATGTCTGAGCTGATACCAGCTGTCCTACCTGGGGAATGGCAGCTTCCTCACATGGAACAAGGAAGAGGAGAGAAGGTATTCTACAGAATGAGGCTAGGGCTTACTGAGGTGGATCCTGGGCTTTGAGCTAGGCAGTGTATGTTAAACCAGTAGGTGCCATCTCTTCTTCCATGGCTTGGCGCAGTGCTGCTTCTCATACGCTTCCCCCTTCTTTTTCCCAGGTGCACCTCCAGCGCCCAGACACTTCCTGCACAAACAACTGGCAGCTACACTATGAGCTTTGCTACTGTTTCTCCTGCTTTGGTAGCTGCTACTGTAGCAGAAAATGCCTCCCCTGCTAAAACTGCTGGAGGAGATCCCAGAGAACATCAGGAACCCAGAAAGTGATCATTGCCAGAAGATAGAGCTTTAGTCCATTGTATTTAGAACAGACATTCATTCTTGGATTCACCTGCAAAGGACTGCAGAAACTGACCATTCTAGGCTCTCTGAAAACACGGGCAGCATCCAAGTTTTTTTCTGCTTGTTTCTCTCTCTTTCCTCTGCCATTTCCACCTCCCAACACCACCCTAGAAGGGGAACTGATGGCCTCCCTCCCTATGTGAGGCAGACAGATGGACACCATGCAGGGATACCACCATATTAGCAGCTGCCCCCCAGTGCATCTTCTTTCCCTATGTAGACTCATTAAAGTTGTCTTTCTTCTGACTCCTCTCCCCTCTGTCCTAATCTCCTATGTGGCAAATCTGCTCAGAAAAATAATGCAACTTTTTAGAGAATAATAGTTTTGGTGGACAGGGGGACTCTTCATTATTTCCAAAGTAAGGGACTTGCTGCAGTGGACTGTCTTTTGTGCCCTGTTCTTTTAAGCCCAGAAGGACATCCCTGGCTACTCCCCAGTCAATAGGCAATAGACAAAAAGGTCTTTGCCTTTGCTGAGCTGTTTCTCTGCCTGCATAAACTCCCTCTGTGTCCTGGAGCATGCTTCGTGAATGTAAGTCTAGGCACAGCTGCTTTTAAATGAGGAAAGAGTACATGGCTGTAGGAAATCATGGATTTGATTATCAGCCCCATAGGTAATGGGGTTCTTGATGCAGGAATCCAGTCCATGGCAAGGAGGACAGAACTAGATGATCTTCAACTCTCTTCCAACCTAAGTCATTCTGACTCTGTGAATTGTCTCTTGGTCTGGGTAGAGCTGCTCAAGGATAGGAGGCTTAGACAGAGGATGGCACCGAAGGATAGCAAGAGTGAGTGAGAATAGGGAGATCATAGTCCTGCGGACAGACCAGGGACAGCCCATAGCCTTATCTTCTTCCCCTCCATCACCCAATATAAGATTAATGGCTAGAACACATGGGCACAGACAGGTGGAATAGGTATTTCATACAGTGTAACAGTACTGTCATGGCCCAACTGCTGCCCAGACATGCAGAGTTGGGGGGTAATTCACAAGTTGGTACTGATAACAGCCGCACTCAGGCTACAAAATGGACTTGTCATCTCCTGTGAACCCAACAGCCCCATGAGGCCTAGGAAAGCCACCAGTGCCCAAAGCCCCACAGCTGCTGTACAACACTTTGTCTCCCTAAGACTGTAACAGCTTTCTTGGTCCCCTGAGGTCCCCTGAGGGCACCCCATTGACAAATTCAGTCTCTGAAGAGTTTCTGTGCAGGAGTAGTTATTAGCTTGAGTCTCGCTGTGCCATTTGGATGATAGTGGAACAAGCTTTTGCCCTCAGCCCCTGCTCTATGCTGGGTCATTTTTGCAGTGGGCATCATCTGGGCCAAATCCTGGGCACATCAGAGGCTTTGACTAGGAGCAACCACTGAGGCAGATACACGCATTGAGATCTCTGGGACTGCATTCACTAGAGGAAGAGACAAAAACCATTTTTATGAGTTGATTGCACAGCTTGAGCATGGACTGCACATGCAACAACAGAATGCAGTATGGAGAAGTGCAGTGCAGAATTAATTCCTTTTGCACTCACCACAAACACTCAGTCAAATCAAAATCCATGTGTATTATATGTTATGTGCTCTTGTGCCACTTAGTGAGTAAAATACAGTGATAATAACATTTCAACATACCTACAAGCGCCTGTGAAGACACGTTTTTGTTATTAAGCAGATGTGTAGGTTTTCTCATTTTATTATTAAACATGAGCTGTGTTATTTCATGAAATAATTGAATAAGTTAACATATTCACTGCCAAAGAAATATCCAGAATACTCACGCAATGCTGACAAATTCTTAAATTTTCAATATTTGTAGCGTATTCTCATTAGTTTTACAATATGTACTTCATTAGTGTTTCTGCTATTCCGAACACATGGGGGCAATTTACAAGTAATAATTGCATAACTTTCCACTTTGGTAAAGGAATTTGTGAATAGGTTTCAAGACAGCCAAAAAAATAATCATTTTTTCTTACGTATTTGCAACTCCATCTTCAGACAACATAAATATGCAAATTTTCAAATGGAGTGTTCAGAGTTACAATCAGATATTCAACTCAAAAATTCGATTATGTCTCTTCACTACTTTTATAAGCCCTATCTTAAGAGAGAGAAATATCCCTTGCTTCACAATCACACCTTTTTAATGTCATCACTTTTTGGCAGTGCATATATTTGTGAACAACTATTGTCAAAGATGGAGGACAGGAAGAGTAAAATTAGATAAAAAATCTCTGATGAGCAGCTTGAGAACTCACTAAGAACTGCAACCATCTCCATAGAACCAGATGTTTATGCAACAGTTTCACAAGAACAAGATCAAGTTCCCACTGGTTTTATGCTTTTATTGTCTTCATTTTTGTTTTAATAAAGACTATGTAAAAATAAAAATTGTGTTAATTATATACATTAACTCTATTATGTCTTCTATATGTGGCTCAAGACAATTCCTCTTCACTCAGTGTAGCCCAGGCAAGTCAAAAGGTTGAAAACCCATGATCTACACCTCGACCTTGCTAAACCTGCCTTGTGAACTGCGGGTGACCTCAGATTGCACAGTGGTGAAGCAGGGTAATGAAGAAGTCAAGGCACTGAACCCATATTCCCTAGAGCACAACAATTTCAGGATCTATTACAGCTCTGCACATCCTAAGTTGCACAAAGCACCTGTTCCTTATACATTCCTGCAGGAAATCCCCACTTTTTGGTCAGTTTACATGTTGTTGTTCACTGGGAGAATGATAGCCAAAATGGTACCCCAAAACAACTCACTGCTTTCTGCAGCCTCATGACCTCTGTGTTCTCAGTTTCATCTTCCCTGAATTTGTATGAAAGACATGCAGCTTCATTATTATCAGCAACATTTAAGTACTCTCTTCAATCATACTACAATTTTCTTTCAAGGTAGTGATTAAAACGTTTGTCATCCTGAGGGAACCATCATTTCCTGTGCAGAGAAGGAACTCCTGAAGGCACTGCTGAATTTGAAATAAGAGCTCGTGCATGCAGGATCCCATGCACTAGGCAATGCTCTCCTCACAGTCCTCCTGCTATGGTTCAGATCAGAGCCACTATTTCTACTCAACTTTCTAGGCCCTCAGCACCTTTTTTCTGTTGTCAGAGACTAAGACTTGACTGAGACCTGCAGAAATGTTACTAGGGAATTTGCCAGTGTGAGAAAATCTCCATCTCCTCACTTTTTCTGGGACACTAGAGCTTTGTTCCATGGGGAATTTGTCCTCCAGTGGAACTCACGCTCACGAGATCTGTGTTAAGATAATAGAGAGTAAATCTGTGCCACTAATGGAGGAAACATCGTCCCACAATAAGCTTTGCTGGTGAAAACACTAGGCTATACAAAAGGTAGTAAGAGCCCCAAAGCGTGCATTCAGGGACAAAGGAACTATCTGGGATGACAGAGAAGTGAATGTGGATTGTTACTTTCTTACAGTGTCCCTCATGCCTCTGGACCTGTCTTGATTCCAGCTTGTGAGGTCCAAACACTACAAGCTGTTTTGGGGGGCTTTGGGCAGTGGTAAAATACAGAATTGGGATTGAGTCCATAGCACAGTTCCCTTCTAACATGATGGATGGACTCAACAATGATCTGAGGTGAAGGCTGAGACCAATTCAGCTGTTGGTGTATGAGAATCAGAAATCCACCTTCCTCAAGAGCAGAGTTGCTCGAAATGAATTAGCAAAGAGGTAAAGAAAGTGGGAAAGATAAAAGGAATGTTCTCATATCTCAAACACTCCCTCTCTGGTTCTGCCTGCTCTGGCAGTGACTCATTTTGGTTGCTCAGTCAACAACTCTATGGACTTCTTTATGGAAGATGCCCTGGAATTCTGGGAACCTGCAGATGGCTGTGTGGAAAAACCATCTCCTGACTTCTTTGCAGACACTACGTGTATCCAACTTCTCAATTGTGAGAGTAGACATGGAAGCACAGAAGATGTGAGACTGTTAACAGAGAATGATGATGTAGACCCTCTGTCTGCACCCTTAGTGACAACTAAGCCTTCAATGGGTCTCCCAGTCTTTGGTAACCTAAGTAAGGGCATTTGTTCTTCAGGACACCTGGGAAGTAACAAATATGAAGGAAATGGTAAAGATTAATCTCCTAGACAGTCATTATCAGTATGTAGCAGCTAGAAAAATAAAAAGTTAGACTCTCATTTTGGAATGACTTAGTAGTGTACCCACAAACCAACAAATATATTTTTTTGTCTACTAGATTTCCTGCTTTTCTCAAATCTTTGAACCTTCTCTCACCCATCTGGTACTTTCCAAGCATGAGGACAGAACTAAAATCCTCCTCCCAGTGGCCTTCAAAACAGTTTGATCCATTCTTGAAGCTACTTTTCTACCTCCCCATTCCTCTCAGGAACAGGAAATCTCCTTTCTTCAATCTCTTTTCCTTCTGATTTTCCCTTGTTCTGTCCCTTTTTCTGACACATCTTCACTATGATAGAATCATAGAATCATAGGATGGCCTGGGTTGAAAAGGACCACAATGATCATCCAGTTTCAACCCCCCTGGTATGTGCAGGATTGCCAACCACCAGACCAGGCTGCCCAGAGTCACATCCAGCCTGGCCTTGAATGCCTCCAGGGGTGGGGCATCAACAGCCTCCTTGGGCAACCTGCTCCAGTGCCTCACCACCCTCTGGGTGAAGAACTTCCTTCTAATATCCAATCTAAACCTCCCCTGTCTCTGTTTAAGACCATTCCCCCTTGTCCTATCACCATCCACCCTCGTAAACAGCCATCCCTCTCCTTTTTATATGCTCCCTTCAAATATTGGAAGGCCACAAAGAGATCTCCCCAGAGCCTTCCCTTCTCTAAGCTAAATAATCCCACCAGTTCCCTCAACCGTTCCTCATAAGAGAGGTGCTCCAGCCCTCTGACCATCTTAGTGGCCCTCCTCTGCATTCATTTCAAGAGCTATGCATCTTTCCTGTGCTGGGGGCCCCAGGTATGGACACAGTACTCCAGATGGGGCTTCACAACAGCTGAGACGAGGGGGACAATCACCTCCCTCTTCCCTGCTGGCTGTTGAAGAGCACCAGTAGCAAGACTGACCCCTGAGGGACACCGCTTGTGACAGAACTCCACCCTGACACAGAACCATTAATCACAACACTTTGGCTGCATCCAGTCAACCAATTCTTAATCCTCAGAACATTCCATCCTTCAAACCCATACCTCTCCAATAAATGTTTGTTCCAACAGAAAGAAAAACTCAGCTAAAATTTCTTAGAAGCCATCATGGCTAACATAGTCAGCTGCCAGAACAGCTGTTTCCAGAGCCAACTCTTTGCTGCACCAGTAAGATTCAGTATGACAAGAGCACTGTTCACAGAGTATGTGTGTGGATGTATGTGTGTGTTTAACCCTACCCTCTATGTAGTAAATAAATGTGTGTCCAGCCATCTCGAATCTCATTAACTTGAACCTTAGTTACAATAAAGATTTGTTAAATCTATATATATATATAAAACCATATATTATCTATATTATATCAATAAATATATTCTAGCCTCTCTCCTACAAGTGCAGTATAGTCATTTTCTGTCTAAACAACTCTTTATCAGTGAGTGTAATGATAGGAGAAGGTATAATGTCTTTAAAGTAAAAAAGAGTAGATTCAGGTTAGATATTAGGAATACATTCTTCAATTACACAGGTTGCCCAGAGTAGTTGTGTATGCCCCATCCCTGGCAGTATTCAGAGTCATGCTGGACAGGACTCTGAACCACCCGATTTAGTGGAAAGTATCCCTGCTTATAGAGGTGGATGGAACTAGAGATCTTTCAGATCCCTTCCAATCAAAACTATGCTATGATTCTATGACATTTTCTGTGAACTCACAGATAGCATAGAGAGGAGACAAGTCAAAGAATCAAGAACTTTTTTCCAGAGTGTTACCTGGGATGTGGGGTTAAAAACCAGCAGGAAACCTGCACCTATGGGAAGGCCAAAAAAAAAAGTGGCCATCAAAGCGAGATGAGGAGACAGGAAAAAAAGGACATGGCACATTCTCACGCACAGAAAGACTTGGGTATTCAGATGATACTTGCTGGAAATTACCCTGAGGATGGCACTTCAAAGAGCCCCACTGTAGTGAACCAAGCTGATGACATTTACCTGCTCAGGACCGGTCCAACACTTGAGCCGAGTTTTCTGTCTCATCAGTGCAATCCTGCCCTAAAAATCCTTGGGCCTTTCATCTCAGCACTCAAAAAAAGCCTTCATTAGAGGATGGGCATGGCATAAATCTGGAAATGAAAAGGCAACACTGCAGGAAACTAAAGAACAGCTCATATCATTAGAAGGATGGCTTGCATTTAAGGTGAGCTTGTCAGAAAATTATTACCTCTGCTCTGGGCCTGCAGCAATGAAGGACCAGTATAAAAGGCAGCCCAATTCCCAGCTCTCCCATCCACTTCTCTTGCCTCTTTCTCCTTGGGAATCAGGTAAGTGTAAAGCCCTCTGTCCTCTTGCAAAGCGAGATTTTGCCTCAGTGGCCTTCTTATCAAATAGTTATTCTGCCCTATGCTGGGGATTGGACCCTCTTGCTGTGGGAGAAGGATAAGTCTGCTGAGAATGACTGGGACACTGCTTATATGGCTTGTGATTTATGCACTCTGTGAGCCTCCCTGGGCCAGGCTACTCTTTGTAGAGCTCTGGCATGATAAAGGGATGTGACATGATGTCTTCATCTCCATTCATAGTAGCTGCCTGGGCTCCTTTGTGAGAGGGTATTCACTTGCTCTTCACATAGTCATGTACTGTGCTTCCTCATAATTCTCTCCTAGGTTTACTTCCAATCCCAAGTCATGTCCTGCTACTCCCAGTGTGTGCCATGCCGGCCCTGCGGCCCCACCCCTCTGGCCAGCAGCTGCAATGAGCCCTGTGTCAGGCAGTGCCAGAACTCCAACGTTGTCATCGAGCCCTCTCCCGTGGTGGTGACCCTGCCCGGACCCATCCTCAGCTCCTTCCCGCAGAACACCGTTGTGGGATCCTCCACCTCTGCTGCTGTTGGCAGCATCCTCAGCTCTGAGGGTGTGCCCATCACCTCAGGGGGCTTTGACCTCTCTGGTTTTGGAAGCCGCTACTGTGGCAGAAGGTGCTACCCCTGATAAAGCTGCTGGCCATGATTCTGGGGAAGTTCTTCCAAAAACTACCAGATAAAGAGGAATCTTCAGGCCACTGCTTTCAGAATACCTGACCATCCTCAACTATTCTAGAAAATGCTGACAGGAAGAAGGAAGACTGGCCTTTCTAAAAGCCTGGCTCATGTCTCTTCTTCTATTCCACCACCTACTTCTTTTCATTTTCATTTTTTTCTCCCATCTGTGCTTCTCTGTGTGTTGGGACTACCCTGAGCCAGCCTATCCTCTGCTGGAAAGCCAGGCACATGCCCTGCATGAAGTCTACCACAGGATCAGGTGAATCCTGCACTGCAGAACCTCTGTTCAGATTGACCTCATTTTCTTCTTTAAACATTCATTAAAGATTTCTGCATATCACTTTGGTCTTTTGGTGTTTCTTTCCACTGTATGTAGTCTCCAGAGCTGTCCAGGGAGAATGTCTTTGCTCTTGGTGGGTGTCAGATGAGTGTTTAAATAGACCCTTTTCTATTCCCAGAATAGGTCTTCTGCAACCAACAGCCATCCTGTTGATGTAGTTTCAACCAGTTTTGTATCTTGGACAACTGGTGCTTTCAACTAGGGTGGTCAGACCAGGGATGGATGGTACAAATGGATAGTAAACAAAGTAATGTTGGGATGTGAGCAGGTGGTGTTAATGCTGGGTGTCCTCACTGATCTCTGCCAACAGCTTCTGCTGCACCTGGGCTCTGCTCACAGCCATTGTCTAGTATACAAAAACTTCTTTGTACCCACCTCTGCCTATTGTTTATGATGACAAATCTTGGAGAAATGGTGAGGAGCATACAAAGATTGTAAGAGATTCCAAATGATGACAGCAACACGTGCACTAAATGATGTGTGTATTAATGGTGAAGAGATTAGTGCATATATCACAGATAGAAAGATGAAATTGTTGAAGAAGAGCTTGAAAGAAGCAAAATGTAAGGAATGATTGCATGAATTACAGAGTTACAGAAAGGAATGAAAAAACTAACAAACAAACAAAAAAAAAACAGGAAGAGTTGGATGAAGATTGGATTGATGAATTCAAGATGGGGTAGGAGCAAAGGGAGGGATGGTGCAAGGAACATGGAGTATGGAGTGATCAGGAGCCACCACTCAACCATGGGCCTGAAGACACACCTGTGGGAGTCAGCAATGGGAGCAGAACCATCTGCAGTGATATTGGGAGCAGGGGAGTGTGAGAGGGGCAGTCTCCAACATGGACAACTTGGTCACAGGGCAGTGGTGAAGGAAGGGAGGCTGAGGCTGTGAGAGCAGGGAACAGGTAAAGGAAGAGAAGCTGTACATGCAGTATGCAATGGCAGATGGAGAAGAGGGCCTTGGAGAAATATGTGCCCAACTAAGAAAAGATGACAATGTCTTTTCCTGGCTTGCTTTTTCTTCTTAGAGGCTAACAGAATGGTTGGAGACACTACATGTAGGAGCTTAAGTAAAATGTTGAATTTCTCTTGATCAGAGAAATTAGCAAAGCAATTTGTGTTGGAATGTGAGCTTGTCCTTAGGGCAAGTATGGCACAGTTTTCCTGACTATGATATCCTTGACTGTGTGTTGTATTCCTTTAATCACACACATTACCACTGAGAAAATCACTCAGACCTTAACACTGGTTTCACTTTTATTCAGTAGAGATCCCTGGCTGAACACAGCTTCCTGCATGACTGGGAGTGCATCATTTATTTTGAGATGACATTGACTATCCCAGACATCCAGATGTTCCTGGCAGTTAGATCTGGGAATATGTGCTGCGGTCTACAAGGGTAGGGAGTAAATGCATGCAGAAATAGTAAAGAGTAAGTGGATGCAGAAAGAAAGATGGTGGTGAAGTGAACTGCATAGAATCAACAGCAATGTTAGACACAAGGGAAGAATGAATAAACAGATGAGTAGCAAATTCCATTGATTTTTTACTTTTATTTGGGATCAGTTTCTACTCACACTCATTTTGGCCAAGACCTGGCTTTATCCCAACTGGAGAGATGCATTTAGATGAAGCAATAACTTTCGGAGTGTAATTTGCCTTCTACAAACTGTTCAATCTGAACGAATCATCAAGGGTTGATGAAGTCAGATGAGCTAAATCAACTTTTCTAGCTTCTCACATTCCCTTTATTTTTTCTACAGGTTTTCAATGGTTTGATCCATATCCAGGGTCCTATAGCATTTGCTCCAACAGTATTCACACATTTCCATCCACATTCAACCTACGGAAAGAAAGAAGGGTGTACTGAATCCCCCCAGACATTATAAATAAAGATACTAAACAGGTCTGACTCCAGTCATAACCTCTGAGGAACACTACTTCTGACAAGTCATCAGATAGATTTAACTTAATTCATCACCACACCTAGATGCAACCAGTAGCTAGGCTAGGGATATATTCCTAGTAATTACACACATATATTAGAAGCACATGTGTTTACCATACATATAGCATACATATACATATATATGTAGCACACCAATTAAATCAACACAGGCAGATATACTTAGCATTCCTGTAAAAATAGAATAGCACTAAGATCATCATCCTGTTCCTCCCTTAGGCTGATCAGAAGGTAATGTGGGAGGAAACACGTGTATAATGTGAATCACTGGAGAAGCTTAGCTAAAAATGTAGTCTACCCTGGAGCTGGCCCTTGCATCCACCTAAAAGCACCAAGTGCTGCTCACACGGTATAAGGCACCTCTCACACAAGGTCACACACCAGTTGCTGGTACTTATTTACGTATTTACATGGAGTATAAATTTCCTCATATTTGGGAACAAATGGGAATGAAATGTAATAAGATAGGACGTAGATAGGACATGGTCAGGCAAGTTTTTTGATCATCCATTTACATGAGACCAGTCCTTTTTTCCCCTTACGTCTGTATTTTTCTCCATTTTTTTCCTCCCCTAAATACCTCATAGTAAGTCCTGAGAAATCCCAGAATGCTTTTACTCGGCATCCTATAATGTGCCCAGTAGTGCTAAAATATAATCCCTCTCAATCTGAGCCAACTCATCTTGATGGGTCTCATATCCAAACCACATAAAACTGCACTGAGGACAAGGGTGTCCATTCCACCTACTTATTTCAGTCTCCCTTGACTGCTTTTATGTGTGAAAATGTGCCTTCGGTGGGTTCACCAGTCTCCTGTGATGTCTGTGGGATTAGCTGGCTGAGGGCATTATTTGGGTTCCCCACCTGCCATTGTTTCTCTGTATTTCTTTGTATGTGTGCAGCCTGGGATTTTACCATGTAATATAATACCTCCCGTTTTTCACACCATATCCTAACCCCCAGTCCTTCAACAGCTGATGGAAGAAAAGGCAAGGGAAGAGAACAAAATTGCAGAAGAATCCAGGATATGCTAATGAACTGAGAACAGGCATTCCAGCCATTGCTTTCAGAGGGGTTGAGCATACACAACTCCATCTGTAAAGGAAGGCAAGGGGAGGTCAACCTCCTCCTTCAAAGAGGAGCTCTCTGAAAAACAAGGCCCATGCCTAATTCCCTCTTCTCTTTCTCTCTTCTCCCTTTTTTTCTGCTCTCCTGGACTGCGAGCTCCTGCTAAGCTAGTCTTAGAAAGACTAGCTTCCTTTCTCCCTCCAGGGTGTGGGCAGTTAGATGCCCAATGCAAAGCCCCCTCTGATCAATGATTCCTACCTACTCCTGGTGTTCCCCATATCACGGCACCCTCTCAGAAGTCCTTGTTCCCCTTGTTCAAATCCTTAAAGTTCTTCTGCATCCTAGTCTGGATCTCTGTGTGGTACTTTCCTCTCTGGACACTCTCCCAGGCTGCCGGAAATCTATTGCTTCGAGAAGATCCTGTGGGGTCAGAGGAGACCCATGTCCATTGCCAGACAGTGAGACACAGGCAGTGAGCTTGTTTCAAACACTGTTCTTGAAACTAAGAAAAATTTCCCTGGCTCCCACATCCAGGGCCTGCCTTGCTGGGTCTCTGCACAGAATGCTCTCCCCAGCCTTCGAGCACATCCAGCAGATAGAGAACTCAATCAATATCCTACAGAGGAGATGATCTTCCCAGCCACAGTGAGAGGTAGCAATGGCACTGGGACATGCTTCTGTATCTGGAAGCTTCTGCATGTCCTCCATGGCAAGTGACTTCCAAGTGGCTCATCTAGGCAGAAAGGAAAGGCATCATGGCCTTTCAAAATCCTCTTGGTCACTGAGGGCTCTGATCTGCTCCTCACAGGCACTCATAACCTTGTGTGAAACAGTCACCTCTAAAAGCATTGTGGGAGATGTGGTAGTATGTGGCTGTCTTGTGTTGGCAGAATTGACAGTGATCATGACTTTTTTGGTGTCAAAATTTCCTGTTGCGAGAGAAAAATGTCCGCACTGATGCTTTTTCTTTTCCTCTTTTAGTTGTTTCTGCTCCACCTTGAATGTTCCTTTTCAGAGACGGGGCAGGTGGCTCAAGGATTTATGGGACAGCTCATCGGTGCCACTGGGAGATGAGTCCTCCAGCTGGAGGGGTCAAATGCAGACTGAGGACATCGGTCTGGTGCTGTGGTGTGCAGATTTTTTGCAGGCCCAGTGTTCTCTATCAGCAGGGATCACTTGACCTTTTTCATATTCCACACTACTGAAAGGTATGAGTGCTTGTGAGAATGTTCAGAGCTCTTATGAGTTTTGAAGGGCTTTGACCATTATACAGACCTGGATGAACTTGGGATATTGCAAAGGCTCATCTTTATACTATTGCTTTGGATAAGCAAATATATTTAACCTCTACTGGTCTTTCTAGAGAGCCTCATGGCTAAAGGCCTGGGATCATAGAATTAGAGAATATACTGAGTTGGAAGAGGCCCACAAGAAATATCAATTCCAACTCGTGGTTCCATTCAGGATCACACTAAAATCAAACCAAACGTCTCTGACTGCTGTGCAAAAATAGCATTCTTGCCACTGTGACCACTTCCCTGGGGATCCAGTGCCTGAAAACCTTTTCAGTGAAGAACCTTTTCCTAATATCCAGCCTGAATCTCCTCAGTACAAGTTTACTTAGATAGGTTCTCTTAGATCCTTTTGCTGGTCACAAGAGAAAAGAAACCAGAAACTCCATGATAGTTTGCCCTCATGAGGAAGCTGTAGACTGCAATGAAGTCATGTCTCATCTTTCTCATCTAATCTGGATAAGCCAAGTGACCTCAGTCACTCCTCATACATCTTCTCCTGTAGACCTTTCACTACCTTGCCCAAAATTGCACACAGCATTTGAGGTGAGGTTGCATCAGCACAGAGTAGAGTGGTCCTAGGAGCTCTGCCTGAGTAGCAGGAAGATGGTTTTGTTCTACCTTTTAGATTGAGGTTTGGAAGTTGACTGGTAGAAGTGATGGAAGATGGAAACTTGCAGGCTTTACTTCCTCTTTTTGGAAGATTGCTTGGCACCCTCTAGAGGCAAAATTGGGATGTGGCTCTTCTGGGCAACACCTGTGGGACTGGCAAACTTTGATGAGTCATGGGCAGGCAGACTAGATGATCCCAGTCTGAATATTTTTTTTCTCTGTTTTAACTTTAATTTTCTCTTTTAACTGTATAAGTTTCAATAGATCCAAGTATTGGGTCCTGCATTTTGGTCACAACAACCCCAGGTGACCATATAGGCCTGGGGGAGAGTGGCTGGAAAGCTGCCTGTTGGAAAGGGACTTTGATGTACTGATGCACAGCCAACTGAATATGAACCAACAGTGTGCCCAGGTGGCCAAAAAGGCTAATGACATCCTGGCTTGTATCAGGATTGGTGTGGTGAGCAGGACTAAGGAAGTTATCCTGCCCCTGTACTCAGCATTGGTGAGGCCTCACCTCAGGTACTGTGTTCAGTTTTTTCAGTTCAGCACCTCAGTACAAAAGGAACATTGAGATGCTGGAGCAGGTCCAAAGAAGGGACCTTCACAAGAAGGCTTGTGAAGGACTTGGAGAATATGGCATACGAGGAGAGACTGAAGGAACTGAGGAAAAGGAGGCTAAGGGGAGAACTAACTGCTCTCTTCAAATACCTGAAAGGTGCTTACAGCAGGAGTAGGGTTGGTCTCTTCTCACTGGTGACAGGACAAGGGGAAATGGACTCAAGTTGCACCGGGGGAGGTTTAGATTGGATATCAGGAAACACTTCTTTACAGAAAGGGTTGTTAAGCACTGGAATGGGCTCCCCAGGGAGGTGGTTGAGTCACCATCTGTGGATGTGTAAAAACACATTTGGATGTGGTGCTCAGGGACATGATTTAGCAGAGGGTTGTTAGGGTTGTTTGATTAGGTCGTGGTTGGACTTGATGATCTTTAAGGTCTTTTCTAACCTGAACAATTCTATGATTCTATGATTCTATGATTGATGTCTGAAACAGCCTTGTCTGAGAAGCAAGTATTATATCAATATAAAGAAGGTTAGGCAGAATTTTGGAGAATATTGCCTCTTAGCTTTGACCTTTGCCACACAACATCAGGCTCCCATTGCATCTAGAAATCAAGAAATCCCTGAATTCATTCTTTTCCAAGTTCCCTACCTGTCTACATCCTTGAAGAGGCACACTTTCAATAAATAATGCATACATTTCGCGCCTTAAAGCTGTAATGCAAAGTCTTGGATGGAGATCTCTGAATGTTTGGTTTAGAAAATGAGGGAACACTAGATAATAGCTGCCAATGTGTTTTCACAGAGGAGCTAAGCTGCAATGAGACAACTGCTAAACTGAGCATTACTCAGGAGTATAAATAGTCAATTCATCAGAGGCACCAGAGACCTTTTATCAGCTTGATGTGGGCTGGCTTATAGCTCTTGAGGAACAAAGATATTACTAGAAAGCTTCCCTTAGTGATACAAGAATTACCTCACTGTTTGGGATTTAACATCTATCTGCCAAGCGGTGTCTGTGAAATACTTCTCTCTTTCAAAGCCCGGTCACCTCTTCACAAACATACAAGGCTTTCTCTCAAATTCTGTCCTGGATATTTTCCCCCTCACTCCCCTCCCTTTTCCATTCTCACTGGAAAGGCAAAATAACTGATCTTCCTGCATTTTTCCTCTGTTATGAAAACCAGAATGGGAGTATCCTATGACTCTCCCTTTCCAGCTCAGGAGGTCATCTGGAAAGCAAGCATAAGCCAGCTCTGCAGTGAGATCTAAGGACAGAACTTCTTTGCTTGGCCAAAGTTTACCTCACCTCATCTGATGTGCGTAGCAATTGCATAGCTTCAAGTTGTGATGGCAAGCAAAACACCACCACACTGTTCTCTCACTCTCCCTTCCAATTCCCCCCTTATTGAGATAAAGACATTTTAATTAAATGAAAATAAAAACAAGCAAGCAGAACAAAATAGAATAAGTAAAAGAAGAAAGAAGTTATTTTTTACTTCCTTTTAAAGGAGCAACTCTCCTACAAATAAAGGCTGAAACAGCTGTGGTTGTTCAGTATGGAGAAGTCTCCAGAAAGATGTCATTGCAACTATCCAACACTTCAAGAGAGCTTATAAATAGGAAAGACATTGATTTCTTTCATGGTCTGAAAGTAATGAAACAACAGAGAATTTTTAAATAGAAGAGGGAAGATTTAGATTAGATATCAGGAGGAAATTCTTTAGTCACAGGGTGATGAAACACTGGAATAGGTTGCTCAGAGAAGATGTGAATGACCCATCCCTTGGAGGTGTTCAAGACCAAGTTAGCTGGTGTTCTGAGAAACATGTTCTAGTCGTTAGCAACTGTGCCCATGGCAGGCAGATTAGAACTGCATGATCTTTAAGGTACCTTGCAACTCAAATCATGTGATTCTACTTGAGGAAAGTATCTATGAGTTCTGTACTGTCAGTGGACTTCAGTCCCAGTTTTGCTGCCTCTCTGTCCTGATACTGCTTTTAGACATCACTGCACAGCAGAAGGTTGCCACTGCTGCCCCTGAATGAGGAGCCAGAACTTCCCTGAGAGGGCAGCAGGCACATAAGATCACGGAAGAGGATAGTAGTGGAGAAGGAGAGTGGGGAAAACAGAGGTGAGAATTCCTCCTCCTGGGCTGGGAGGCCCATGTAGAAAATGGAGGGAAAGTGGGTGAGCTGGGTCTCACTTCAGTTTGCTTCACATGGAGGGTGGGAAGTAAGGAAGGAACTGATGGATACCAAGGTCCTTCAGTGGTCAACGCACTACACAAATTCACAGGCAGTACATATTCCTTCCCTTTTCCTTCTGTTTCTATCCAAGTTTCCTGAGGAAAAGAATTTGGGCAGAAAATGGCAGGGAGAGACTGAAGGCAGGAGGAGATGCATCACATGCTCCACAGTCACAAGCAGCAAAGGCTGGAGAGGTGCTTGTGAAGACACAGCTGGGCATGGTGAAACAGGTTCACAGAGACCTGATTGGCAGCAGGATTGCAGCCACCCATGTCTGCATAAAGATAGTTAGCAAAAAAAAACAAAAAACAACAACAACAACAACAGAAAAGAATGAATTGTCCATATGGCTCAGTGGTGTTCTGACTAAAAAGAAAACCCACATGAGCACCCACAAGTTGCATGCTCACTCACAATCAGCAGGGGAGATAAAAGTAAAAACAAAGGTAAGAAAAACACTACGTCTGCATATAATTTAAAAAAAAAAAAAAAAAGAAAGAAAAGAAAAGAAAGAAAAAAAACTGGAAGGGTAAACAAAAAGAAAAAACAGTGATGTCAAATCAGTGTTTCCCTACCACCTGCCAGAAGGAAGATGAATGCCCAATCAGACTCTAAAGAACCGTTATTTGGGAATGACTGCTCCCTGTTTTATAGACGAACATGATGTGATGTGGCACACAATATTCCCGTGGTCAATTTGGGTCACCCTTCACACTGTATGTCCTTTTAGTCTCTTTCTGACTCCTAGTCAGTTCTGTGCAGGTGCAGAATGGGAAACTGAAAAGACCTTGATGTTGTGTTAAAATCTTGTTGCGCTACCTCTGCTGTTTAACAACACCTTTAGAACACAACATCATATGGGCTGTGGTGAAGAAAAATGTCTCCACCTTAGCCAGCCCCAATACTGTTTTCTGCCCAGTACCACTGTGTCAAGAGCAGAAGGAATTGCTGCTCCTGCTCTGCCCTCTCTCTCTTCAACAAGCTTGTGGAGCTCTTGCCCTCGCAGGGCTTCCTGAAGCTCTGGCTCTGCAGCCAAGACCAAGAGTGAACATCTTCTGCATGGTGTACATCGAGGCCAAGGAGGCACGTCAGGACAGAGAAGCAAAAGGGTAGGTCTGAACGCCAGGGACACTGCAGGACTCATGGGCGCCCCCCTCATGCATGAGTGACCGTGATTTCTAAGAGAGCCAACAGCGGTGTCACCACCTTTAGGAAAGGTGTAGTGTCCCAGTGTGCAAAGACACCTATTGAAATCCATAGAGTAGCACATTTCCTCCTGGCAGGTGTTGTCTGGAGTGTCCCCTGGGGAAGGACAAAGCAGAGGCACAAGCTGGAATGCAATAAAACTTTAATGTGGGAGAAAAAGGAAATGAAGTCATTCTGAGGGGAAAGGTGCAGGAAGCAGCAGGGGCAGATGACAGTCTACACTGTGTGGCATGCTGAACATGCTGACTGCTGTCCATCTACCTGTTCCACACAGACAGAAGGACCAGCAGGTCCTTTTCAAAACACTACTCGGCCCTTTTTTACAAGATCCCAATGCTCGGTTCCCAGGATGTTACCATCTCGGTCTCTGGGAATCTTCCTCCAGGACCGTCACCAGCAGCTTTAGCACACACGCCTGCCACAGATGCGGCCGCCAATGCCAGAGAGGCCAAAGCCTCCAGAGGAGATGGGCACGCCCTCAGAGCTGAGGATGCTGCCAACGGCAGCGGAGGTGGAGGAGCCCACGGCGGTGTTCTGCGGGAAGGAGCTGAGGATGGGTCCGGGCAGGGTCACCACCACGGGAGAGGGCTGGATGAAGACGTTGGAGTCCTGGCACTGCCTGACGCAGGGCTCGTTGCAGCTGCTGCCCAGAGGGGTGGGGCCGCAGGGCTGGCAGGGCAGGCGTGGCAGGCACTGGTTGTAGCAGGACATGTCTCGTGTCTGGAGGGGCACCTGTTGGCAGAGGGGTCCGGGGGAAGAATCGAGCTGAATGAGGAGCAGTCTGCCAGCCCTCACTGAGAGAGTTAAGGCACATGCTACCTGTGGAGCTGGAGGCCATGTAAGGATGCCAGCAGATCTTCTCCTACACTTTGGTCCTCAAGGGCCTGGCCACTACCTGTCACTTTCAGTTAGGTCTCCTTCCAGACCGTAGGTCAGGAGACACCCCAGCTAAGATCCAGCATCTCTCTGTTACACACCTGCTGCCCCACTCCTTCCCCTGTATTTAGCTGTCACCCCAATACCCAAAGTAAGATCGAGGCACAAGCACGTGCTGAGAAATCCCCAAGGATGGTGGTGAGTAGAATGAGGAGGAGTGTGGCCTTCAGACTCACCTTGTTCTCAGATCAGTGGAGGCAAGAGGAGCGGATGTGAGAGGGAGAAGAAGGGCCTGCTTTTATACTGCTCTAATGCAGCCTCAGGCCTAAAGTCACTTTAACGTGGGTAGTAATTTGCCAACAGACTCACCTCAAATGCAAATTCACCTTCCTAATGGCATAATCTCTGCTTTGTTTTTTTTCCTCAGTCTGCTAAGGCATTTCATTTCCTCATTTCTGACCTACTCATTTGCACACAGACAGTCCTTTAAGTTCTGGGATGACAAGTGCATAGATTTACCAGGCAGCAACACCACTGTCCTGGCAGATATCATAACCCAAGCCCTTTGATGGCAAGCAGGTATTAGACGTCAGTGGAAGTATCTTGTTCTTATTTGCAACTTTGTTGCAAAAGTGTACATATCCTCTGATCTGTTTTTTTCTGCATATTCGCCTTCCTAATCACACAGGTTTTGTTTTGCTTGCTGTGAACTCTGCAATTACATTCCTCATTTCTGACATGCCTATACTGTCATGTTGACTTTTTTCAGGTGTTGTTTTGAGAGACTCAACAATTAAGCAAGTCACATTTGCATAGGCAGAAAAGGAGCCCCATGTGTTGGAATGGTCATTCCCCCCACTCTGGGGACAGGGCATGGCTTGTGACACCATGGGGGAATGATTAACAATGTTAATCATTGATGATGTCCGTCATTTCAAAGTGTTACTGTACTCAAAAGAACACTTCAAGCTTCTATTCCTTAAGGACATGTGTGGTAAGCCAAAGAGGCTTGTGATTCATTATATTGGTCTCTATCTCTCTGTATTAAGATTTGGGACACAGTCAAGGTGTTGCCTGAGCAAGGCTTTGTTTTTATTTATTAAAATATGGGTGAGAAAGAGAAAAAAGACTGAAGAGAGGAAATAGAGAAAAAAATGGAAATGAGAGAAAAGCAAGACATCGCTGCAGATCCCTTGATGTCCTGAAGATCCATCCTCCTTCTTGTTCTTCTGGAGGTGGTTGAGGATTTGGTAGGATGAGCACCACAGGCAGTGGGGTTGTCAATGCTTTTGATGTCATATGAAGATCCCTTACAATTGGGCCAGGAGTTATTGCCAGGCAGAGAGTATCCAGAATCATGTGCCATGCACATGCTGCTTCTCACTTTGCATGGTGGTTGTGGAGGGCCTTGGCTGTGTATGGGGGCAACAAACAACAACCCAAGACTATCTTAAGCAGAACAACTAACTCTTGGTTTCCTCTCGCAAGAGTGTTACAGTACAGTTTTCATTCTGAGGCCTCCACAAGATTGTTAGTTTTGTCTCTAGACAACAGTTAGATGCAAGTCCATCTCTTAACCAATCAGCGAGAATTCATAGTGTTACATTCTGTATAGTGTTGTCACAGAGTCTGAACCAGAAAAAAACATTGCACTTCATTCCCACAGACATACACAGAATCACAGAATCACAGAATCACCTGGGTTGGAAGGGACCTCAAGGATCATGTAGTTCCAACCCCCCTGCCTAGCAGGGCCACCAAACACACACATTCAGATCAGGTTGCCCAGGACCCCGTCCAACCTGGCCTTGAACACGTCCAAGGACGGGGCATCCACAACCTCCCTGGGCAGCCCGTTCCAGGGCCTAACTACTCTCCTTGTGAAGAACTTCCCCCTAACATCCAACCTAAATCTTTCCTCCTTCAACTTGGATCCATTTCCCCTAGTCCTGCTGTTGTCATACATACCACTTGGATCTTCCTTTTGCCTCTCTCTTGGCTCACTCTGACATTCACTGGCCATTGCCTTCACTGGCATCCAGGCTCTCCCAATGGATGTCCTACTCTTGGTCTTGTCAGCTCTAGGGAGAAAGCTTGCCAGTCTGTCTGAGAATGCAGTCTTGGTGTTCGGAAAGCCAGTGCCTTACTGGAGTTGAGTCAGGCAAAAGACAAGAAAAGCATCAAGAAGAACTTGGCAGATAAGTAATAAAATCAAGGTTTAGGCAAAGGGAGCTGCAGTACTGAAGGGGTATCTAACTAGGGGACAAGGCACAAGGAAGAAGTGGAGGTGCTCAAAAGATTCTTGGCCATGGTTTTAATGTGAAGATTTGATCCAGGCAAAATTTGACTTTCTTTTAGTAGAGGATCAACAGACTGGAGTTTAACTGGAGTTTAATGAATCTATTACACCTAATAGCACGCACACAAGTGATTGGCAGATGTCACTGCAAGGCTGCTCTTAACTGACTTTCAAAGTCATGAAAAGCAAAGAGTATACAAGCAGTTGATAGTGAGTGGTCAACATGGATTTAGGAAGAGGAAGCCAGGCCTGGACTGCCTCACAGTCTTACAACTGTCAGTCAAACTCAAACACAAAAGTATGAAGATTCCGAAGGATGGAAGTAGTGTCAGGTAACCTGGGAAGAGTACAGCCACAATGTCCAGGCAGATAGGGATCAAGTAAGGAAAGAGAAAAGCCTGATGGACTTCTCTTCTGATAGAGAAAGGCCATCAAGGGCAACTAGAAGGCCTTCTACAAGTAATTCAGTGGCAAAAGAAAAGCTAGAGAATATACGGATGCTCTCTTGAATGAAACAGCAGACCTGGTTACTTGGGACAGTAAAAAAAAGGTTAATTACTGAATGCCTTCTTTATCTCTTATCCACAAAGACTGACCTTAAGGAATCCCAGGGCCCAGAGACCAAGGTGAATGGTTGGATGTAGCAAAATGTACATTTGGTGGAAGAGGATTAGGTCATGGAATATTTGAGCAAAATGGACATTTGTAAGTCCATGGATCTTGATGGAATGGATCAGTAAATGCTGAGGGAACTGACAGGTGTAATTGCAAGACAACTATTAATAACCTTTATTCAACTGCAGGAGTTGGAAGATGTGCCTGGAAACTGGAGTAACTAGCAGAGACTGTACCAGGAGTTCAAAAAGGTGAAAAAATAAGCAAATATCTAACCAGAAGGAGAAAATTTTGGGGAGGACATTTGTAAGCAGCAGAACACTCCAGCTGCCTATGAAGGGAAAGAACAATGACAGATAGAGCGGGTTTGAAGGTAGGCATGGAGGGAGGACAGAATGCATTCACTGGAAAAGGAGCCCTGGAATATCCAAAACAGATCAGAGGATATGTACACTTTTGCAACAAAGCTGCAAATAAGAACAAGATACTTCCACTGACGTCTAATACCTGCTTGCCATCAAAGGGCTTGGGTTATGATATCTGCCAGGACAGTGGTGTTGCTGCCTGGTAAATCTATGCACTTGTCATCCCAGAACTTAAAGGACTGTCTGTGTGCAAATGAGTAGGTCAGAAATGAGGAAATGAAATGCCTTAGCAGACTGAGGAAAAAAAACAAAGCAGAGATTATGCCATTAGGAAGGTGAATTTGCATTTGAGGTGAGTCTGTTGGCAAATTACTACCCACGTTAAAGTGACTTTAGGCCTGAGGCTGCATTAGAACAGTATAAAAGCAGGCTCTTCTTCTCCCTCTCACATCCGCTCCTCTTGCCTCCACTGATCTGAGAACAAGGTGAGTCTGAAGGCCACACTCCTCCTCATTCTACTCACCACCATCCTTGGGGATTTCTCAGCACGTGCTTGTGCCTCGATCTTACTTTGGGTATTGGGGTGACAGCTAAATACAGGGGAAGGAGTGGGGCAGCAGGTGTGTAACAGAGAGATGCTGGATCTTAGCTGGGGTGTCTCCTGACCTACGGTCTGGAAGGAGACCTAACTGAAAGTGACAGGTAGTGGCCAGGCCCTTGAGGACCAAAGTGTAGGAGAAGATCTGCTGGCATCCTTACATGGCCTCCAGCTCCACAGGTAGCATGTGCCTTAACTCTCTCAGTGAGGGCTGGCAGACTGCTCCTCATTCAGCTCGATTCTTCTCCCGGACCCCTCTGCCAACAGGTGCCCCTCCAGACACGAGACATGTCCTGCTACAACCAGTGCGTGCCACGCCTGCCCTGCCAGCCCTGCGGCCCCACCCCTCTGGGCAGCAGCTGCAACGAGCCCTGCGTCAGGCAGTGCCAGGACTCCAACGTCTTCATCCAGCCCTCTCCCGTGGTGGTGACCCTGCCCGGACCCATCCTCAGCTCCTTCCCGCAGAACACCGCCGTGGGCTCCTCCACCTCCGCTGCCGTTGGCAGCATCCTCAGCTCTGAGGGCGTGCCCATCTCCTCTGGAGGCTTTGGCCTCTCTGGCATTGGCGGCCGCATCTGTGGCAGGCGTGTGTGCTAAAGCTGCTGGTGATGGTCCTGGAGGAAGATTCCCAGAGACCGAGATGGTAACATCCTGGGAACCGAGCATTGGGATCTTGTAAAAAAGGGCCGAGTAGTGTTTTGAAAAGGACCTGCTGGTCCTTCTGTCTGTGAGGAACAGGTAGATGGACAGCAGTCAGCGTGTTCAGCATGCCACACAGTGTAGACTGTCATCTGCCCCTGCTGCTTCCTGCACCTTTCCCCTCAGAATGACTTCATTTCCTTTTTCTCCCACATTAAAGTTTTATTGCATTCCAGCTTGTGCCTCTGCTTTGTCCTTCCCCAGGGGACACTCCAGACAACACCTGCCAGGAGGAAATGTGCTACTCTATGGATTTCAATAGGTGTCTTTGCACAC